ATATGTCAGCTACATGTAAGTTCGTTTGAAGTGGAAAACCCATTTGAAGGTCGACAGTTTAATAGTTATCAAGGACGACAATCAACCTGTTTGTGAATGGAGGGTTGGCAGAGTTCTACAACTACATCCAGGGGACGATCAAGTGACCAGAGTAGCAACTGTCAAGTGCAGTGACGGTTCAATAATGAAACACGCACTATCCCTATTATGTGTTTCGCCTATTGAAGACAATTCTAATATGGACCAGTGTAACATTTAATGAAATGTTGAGAACTCACGTTGAAATGAGTAGAAAGGTCGGCGGGATGTTAACACCGCATTCGGCGTATCTAATATCATTCAAACTACTTATTAACGCCTCATGTTATTTGAGAATGTAAATAAATGTGACAACCTCGCAGACCGAATAAGCCCGGGTGCAACTCGCCGGTAGCCAGTGCTCGAGGGGTTTTCACATAAGTAACTTAAGTATTTTTCTACGTTCAATTCCAATCACGAAATACAGTCCACGACATTACCCACCACTACTCTTCTAACTCTCCAATTATCAGATGTACCTATACTTATAACAGGGTAGAAAAACACGTTTTCCGATCGTGACCTATTTGCTCTGAGTTTTGAACTCTTTAAACCACTTAAAATGGTGTACTAATTAATATACTGTCATAAAAAGCTCCAATTTCTTGTTAATTTCATTTAAATTTAAACTAGTTCACGTTTTGGGCTGCCCTTTTATTGGCCAGCTGCGTCTGTCTGTAGGAAAGACTTATTTATAAATTAATAAATAAATCAACAGCGACATATTATTCTATGGCATCCAATCATATTTGTTTATATTTAAGTCGCGGGGTATCAAATGTTACCTTAAAAACAACTTTGTGGTCTTCAATGGAAGCAGTATTTTCTAGAACGGTTTTTTGGATTTTTGGGTTAATTATATTTAAAATGAATGAAATCTTAATTGAATATCTATTGGAAAATGACATTGGTCTCACAATTGTTATACGTTGTAAGTGTTAAGCTATTATCTTGGTTCGGGTTTAAAGGCCGTCGTCGATTGGAATTACAATTCCAATTCCAATTCCAATCGACGACGGCCTTTAAACCCGAACCAAGATAATAGCTTATCAACGGGCCGCGAAAGCCTTAACCAATTTAACGTTGTAAGTGTTGTAAGTAAAATTGTGCCTCTAGTATATCTATCTACTTATATAAATATATAAGGACGTCTGTTGATCTAGATTTTAGAAAGGAGACTTGTGTTTGTTTCTACAAGTAGCTGCAGTTGAATACTTGGTTGCGAACGAATTGAGACGAAGTGTTAGAGCGATTCCCCAACCGGACAATCACCAGCTAGATGCTCGGATCAAACCAATTCTTTTTGTGAGTTCACCTAAAAACTGAGGTTTTTAAAACTAATGTCAGCAAGTTAAAGTTTGAATAAGCTGAAAATTTTTTTACAAAGTGTGGTTTTCTATGGCAATATTTTGGAGATGCCGGAGGTGAATCAGCTATTCCCCCTACTCAGATAGGGGTCTCCTTTCCTCGTAGCAAATTTTTACAGTTTTTTTCTTTGTTCCTAAAATATCAGTCATTTAAAATTTTTATGTAGCCTGTTACAAGAAATTGTGATCTTTGCCTCGATTTTGGTCCACACTCATTAACAGTCCTGGCATATCGTATAAGTTGCATAATAAGCAAATTGTACAAAATGGCCACTTTTGTACAATGTCAGTTGCTTCTTTTCGGATTTTGGTTCTCTTTGCATTTATTGCTCTTCTTTGGTTCCACATTTTTCTTGATGCGCCTCCCTTTTGTTTATAGTTACTACTGATTACAGTAGTGCTACTTACACTGTTTCGCAGAATCAAATATTGTCTCCTATGTGTTTGAGGTGGTTTTTCGGCATTCATTGCAAATTGCAGCTGATCTTCTTATGGGATACTTGTAGTGTAAGGAAATGCGGAGGGAAGTCTATATTTGAATGCAACTGTTCCATCATCTAAAATTGTATGAATGTAAGTTTCTATAGCTTGGACCGAAGTTTAGAAGTCTAGAAGAAGTCGCATCATTTTTTCCGGACTTTTTGAAACTGGGTCCGTGGCAATTGGACAATGACGTCCGATGGTATTCAGGTCAGGTCAATCTTCTTTCAGGACCGACTCATTTTCAGACCTCTTTCTTTAGAAGTCAGCCTGTAGGTGTTGGTATCTCTCCTGGGCAGTCTATCCCATCAGACTTTGCAAATGGTACCACACATGCTTCATGTTGTTCACCATTTCCATGCTCCATTTGCGATTGATGTTGGTAGTATCTCCACATAAAGCAAGCTTAAGGCGGTAAGAATTTCAGTCGAGAATAAACATGAATTTGAGCTACTGCCTGGTGCAGAAGAAACTCAGCTAAAATATCGTTCCATCAAGTTTGTGTTGCTTTTTGTTTATGCTTGTCGCCGTTAATTTTCTCTCTGTAGTTTTGATTTATTAAATTTTGAAATTTTTCACTATCAAAGAGATGTCAACGAATAGGTTTCCAAATTTACACCATCTGCTTTCAAAGTTCCCTAAACTGGGCCCAACAACATAGATTTTACCGAAACTCTATATTAATTTATTTTTGCAGAATGTTAGAAGATATGAAGTTTAAACTAAAGTGCAAATAATGAAATCATAATACTGAAACTTGTTTTTTAATTTTTTTTTCCTTTAGTTCAAATATGATGTAGAGAAAAAAATCTCTAGAGAAAGCATGTCAATATTTAACAGATTTATATGGACATTCCAAATAAATAATAACTGAACGTTTGAGGACTTTTTTATATGTAAAGAAAACTAGCGGTTTATAATTATTATACACGTAATAACTATTTCCACACAATATGGCCTTAACATCAAACATGACGGAATTAAAAAATCAAAGAGTTGGTCTCTACAGTATTTTTAGTTTTTAGGAGCATATACTGGATGTCTCTCAATATTTAGGTACGAACGTTTTTATAACTGATAATTTTAAAACAGATATATATGCAACAAAAAGTTCAAACGTCGATAATATAGGATGATAAACATTGATTGGATCTTGTGTAGAACGTCAAGCAGTGATATTAACATTCTTTAAAACATTTTGCATGGATTCTTTAGAAATTATATAGTGAAAATTACTAAAGATGACGAAACTAAAATATGCACTAATCAGACGGGAGCAAAGTGTCACTTTAAAATATTAAATTCATTAATCACACTTCGAGTATTCCCGATACCAACTGCAGACAGCGATGTTTTAAGTAGATTTAACAAATGACCAAATTCTAACCGTGCCTAAAACGTACCGAAAACATGTGACCCCTCTTAAACCCGTGACTAAAGTACCTCAAATGTCCAAAGTGGCTCGCGGCCGTCGCTAACGACGCTTAAGTCTTAAAGTGCCACCTTCAGCACGCCAACTGGGTATTTTATGGTAAACAGCAGAAAAATAAAACTAGCGATTTTCATTATTATACACGTGAGAACTTTTCACACAATATGTTGACGTTAAACCTCATCGGTACAAGTATACTCTAGCGGCTCCTGCCTAAACCTAGCGAAACTAAAAAAACTAAAAGTTGGTTTCTACAGTAGGGGATGACACGTCTTCTGTGCTTGGTTCCTTAACAATTTGTGTGGATTATTTATTTATTATATTGCTTGAATTACAAAAGTTGACGATTACTTAAATATGTAAGAATAAAATCATTCACAATTTAATTGCCTAACAATGTTTAACAAAGAAAGGCGTATTCTAGATCCAAAATAAACCCTTATTTCCTATATAATAAAAATGTTACTGGTACTAAATGGAGGCCCCCGGCAAAATGTTTTACCGACTCACTTCGTAAGTTATTTTGAAAAATGATTTAATTTTCTTGATGACTTGCTTTTGGTAACAATTTTTTTAAGAAAGCTGTCAATTATCCATCCGCACACTAGTGACTGCCCTGATGAATACCTAAATTTCAATTTTAAATGTGTGTAACCTGTCTTCTTTTAGAAATTTGTTTTGTGACCAACTGTTTTATGCTTCTATTTATATATTATTTTATTATCCTAATATGTATTTGTTTATTTTCATTTGACTTACTACACATATATTTTGTATTCTGGTATTAAATTAACCCAAATCGAGAAATGATTCGCATCTCAAATGATCAAAAAAAATTATATCTTTCATATTTATTAATGAGTTCGTGTCAAATTTTAATTGAATTATATCCACTTTTAATTAAGACGTATAAATTAGTTACAATTCGAACACGGGTAATTATATTTTGTCGGGAAAATATCTATTCTATAATGTTCCTGTTAAAATGCTCCTGTGTTTTTATTTGAAATATCTGATTTTTTGTAAATTAGTAGTCCATTATGCAGCATGTTTCATAGACGCCATCTTACTTACGAGTTTGACTGGAGACGAATGGAGCGCGTGCTTAATAATCCAAGCAAACTTTTTCTACGACCATGGCTATATTTTTGCAAGACTGTAATTTAGTTAAGTTGATTGCAGTAAAACTTAGAAACAAGCAAAAAAAATTCCATAAAACTGTAATTTCTTTAGTAGTTTCAGTAGTTCTCTGGTAATTAAAATCATATTTTTTACCATACATTGAAACGTTTTTGTGAGTAGATTTTTGTTGCACTCTTTCCAGGTATTTAGATTTGTATTAATTAACATTTAGACTGATTTTAAGAAACATGAAAATGTTTTTAATTTCCTAAATTTTTTGAATTAACAATACAAACCAAATCCTACATTTAACTGTATTTGTAACTCAACATTTAACATTACATTATTATCTACAAATATAATACATTCAAATTATATAACACTGATGAATTACAACAACAACCCATATTTAAGAAATATTTTTTAGTTACACATCTCATCAACATCAATTTAGGTGGGAAAAAGAACTTGAACATTATTAGCAAACCATTTTCAAAAAATAAACATGAATGATAGATAGATAGCTGTCCAGTTGAAAAGGGAATTAAATTAAAAAATCGGTATGTAATTGTCAATCTTGGCCCTGTGCTTTTGTGCCACACATTCAGCAATCCATACAATATTCCTGCACTCCTGCTCCTTTAGCTTCAAGTAAGAATAGAACACTCCAAAATGGAATTGTTGCATGAAAGCATCGATATTCAGATGCACCTCATGTTCAAAGAACTTGTCTTCAAGTGTTTTATCACCCGGATTATTACCAGCACCTTCAAACAGCTTTTGATACTCAGCATAATACTCGGCAACTGCTTTAACTTGTTCATAATCTTCAGCTCTGGCCAAAGCTGCCAGACCATCAGGGTGCAATTTACCGCAGCGAGGATACAACTTGGCTCTGTCATCTTTACTCAATTCAGTGCCAAACGAGTTGATAGTTATTATAATAGCTCGACGATCAGCTTCAAAAGCCAAAATTTCACACATTGATTCAGCGGTAGTACCCCCAATCTCTTTGCAAAAATCATAAAAAGCCTCCAAGTATGCCTTGTATAAGGTGTTACGAATGATCTCAATGTTCATCTCATCCAAATCCTGTTCGCTAATGCAATCGACAAAGAATGGAGCAAGGGGAGTATCAACCAAAACGGCATTGTACAATTCAGCTGGGGTTGAAGCCACATGGATGGCTTCCATTTGTTCAAAGCTACCCAGAGGATGACATTTTGGGATTAGCTCGCTAATTGGTCTTTGATGTAAAGTTCCTGTGATGAGCAATATAATATTGTCAATCATGTAACTGTATGTAATAAAATCCAAGAACGTGGACAAAGGTTCCACAGCTTGATTTCTCATATGTTGAAACTCAATTACCAGCTTCTCCCGCAATTTGTTATCAATTGTGGACACGGCCAAGGGCGAGGGCTCATTCGCCAGGAAAGTACCATAATCTGTGCTTTGCAAATGGAGCTTCAAATCTGCAATGTGTTTTATAAAGAGGTTTCCGCAAAGTTTATTTGCTCAAATAGAAATAAATACCTTCTAATGTCTCGCATTGTACCAAATTCATATAGTCGGACTGCTTCAAAATACCACACTTAAATCCTCGGCATAGACCTTCCAAATAACCGTTGTCAATGTTAAAAATGCAGCCCTTCATCTCGCAATAATTTCCTTTTTAAGTTCTGTTACCACCTATCTTATAATATACCTCGCCCAGCAGAGGTCATATGAGCGCTGTCAAATCCCAAATCACAAGTCCAACCAGAGAACATTCGTCTTCATCTCTAATCATTTGCCCATATCACAGAACAATAAAAGGTTACCTGAATCTCCTCTTCTTTAAACAAGGCTGAATAAGCAAGGATGAAAGGACTCGTTTGACTTTGGTGAAAGCAACACGTGTGATGAGATACGCAGAGTTATAGGTGCAGACGGGAATTTAATGATAAAAAACTCTCAAATCAGCAACAAATTAAAGGAAAGAGGCGGATTTTAGCGTATTAAGATATAAGTATACCGATTCGGGCTACAGAAATGTCGGGAAATAATGTAGTTCAATTTAATCATTTCAAAATAGCGCAAGAAATTTTTTACCTCAACCTTAAGGATATTAAAAAAAAGAATCAAGGGCATTAATAGAATAGGCGTGGAATTCGAAATTTTCGAACTCCCGTTACAGGTGACCCCTTACATTGCCCCAGTTACTCAGCGTTTCTCATGTCTCTTGTATGGTCGTACCCGATTACAATGTCGAAGTAGAAAAAGATGCCCAAATTGTGGCGATAGACATGATAACATGGAGGAGCAGGGGGTGCGCGATGGCTTTGAGTGCAATGCAAGATGCTACCATTATTAACAAAAATTTTTCTCAATTTGAGAAACAGAAGAATATTAAAACAATGATGGTTTTCGATAATATAACATATTTTGACGCCAATGAACTAGGCAAAAAAGCATATCAGAATAAAAATGAAACTAATTTTAATCGCACAGACTTTCCACAATTGAAAAACGGTGCTTACACAGTCAGTCACAGCATATATATATATATATATATATATATATATATATATATATATATATATATATATATATATATATATATATATATATATATATATATATATATATATATATATATATATATATATATATATATATATATATATATATATATATATATATATATATATATATATACATATATATATATATATATATATATATATATATATATATATATATATATATATATATATATATATATATATATATATATGATGACACTATATTCCGGGATATCATCCGTTCGCTCGTTGAACTCCGACTGGAATCCTGCATCCGACTGGAATCCTGCAGACGTTTCGCCAAAATCTCACTTGGCATCTTCAATGCTCGCGCTCCGAAAACACTTCGAAGTGTTCGAAGTGTTCGAACACTTCGAAGTGTTTTCGGAGCGCGAGCATTGAAGATGCCAAGTGAGATTGTGGCGAAACGTCTGCAGGATTCCAGTCGGAGTTCAACGAGCGAACGGATGATATATATATATATATATATATATATATATATATATATATTCTCACGTATTGATTCACGGATGGAAAAATGTGATGACACTATATTCCGGGATATCATCCGTTCGCTCGTTGAACTCCGACTGGAATCCTGCATCCGACTGGAATCCTGCAAATCTTGCATCCGACTGGAATCCTGAGGACGTTTCGCCAAAATCTCACTTGGCATCTTCAATGCTCGCGCTCCGAAAACACTTCGAACACTGTGTTTTCGGAGCGCGAGCATTGAAGATGCCAAGTGAGATTTTGGCGAAACGTCCTCAGGATTCCAGTCGGATGCAAGATTTGCAGGATTCCAGTCGGATGCAGGATTCCAGTCGGAGTTCAACGAGCGAACGGATGATATCCCGGAATATAGTGTCATCACATTTTTCCATCCGTGAATCAATACGTGAGAATATCATACACCTTTACGGGAAGGAGACCTTTACAGCCACCCCAGTGTTCGAAGTGTTTTCGGAGCGCGAGCATTGAAGATGCCAAGTGAGATTTTGGCGAAACGTCCTCAGGATTCCAGTCGGATGCAAGATTTGCAGGATTCCAGTCGGATGCAGGATTCCAGTCGGAGTTCAACGAGCGAACGGATGATATCCCGGAATATAGTGTCATCATATATATATATATATATATATATATATATATATATTGATCATATCCTTCATTTTTCTTATTCATTAAACGTTTGGGGTTTTGATTCAGTACTTGTTGATAGGATCTTTTATTTCCCTGAATAGATTGTTTTACCACGACACGTCTCTGATATATATATATATATATATATATATATATATATATATATATATATATATATATATATTTTTTTTTTTTTTTCACGGATGGAAAAATGTGATGACAATATATCTGGAATCCTGCAGACGTTTCGCCAAGATCTCACTTGGCATCTTCAATGCTCGCGCTCCGAAAACACTTCGAGTATTCAATCTTAATCTCTTAATCAGAAAATTGTGACGGTTACCCAAAAAAAAAATTCACATATTTCAGGGAGCAGGTTTTGGGATCTACGGTCCTCAAATGAATCATAAATTTTCATCAAGACTGGCTGATCATCTAAATATATGTATATTGCCGATTGTTGCAACGGGGGAGGCAATTCTGACTGTCCTAAAAAAAAACATAAAAAAATGTATAATATTGCAAAGCGCAATACAGAAGATCGTAGAAAAATCATATAACGGAAAAAGTGATTGTATTAAACTTAAAATAGGAAGAATAGAGGCAAGCGAGAAGGATACCGAAATACTATTAATGTGGATTCCGGGATATTGTGGCATAGTGGGCAACATTGGGAGAAGCTTAGTGGTACCCGAAAATATAAAATTGGAAATCCCTGATATTTTAAATTATCTTAGGACTAAAATAAAAACAGAACATAATATAAGATGAAAGAGAAGTTTTGAACAAAAGGGTAGTTTTTACTCAAGAATCCAAACGGTATTCCCTACAGTTCCATGGTTTTATAGACAGACGACATTTAACTACTGTTATATTATAAGACTAAGGACTGGACATTGCTTGACGGGTGAATATCTACACAGACTGGGACTTTGACGGGACAACAGGTGCGAGTGTTGACAAATTGAAAACCTGGAACATATCCTTTTTGAATGCCCTATGAATTTGAGGCCCAATAGAGATCTATATCAGGAACTGAGAGAGTGTGGGATGGCTGTTCTTTTAAACTTAGTGTGTTACCACGCTCAAATAATAAAATTATTAGAACCATTCTGACTTTCTGTAGCTATAACCAAATAAAACTATAAGGGGCTCCAATTGTACTTAGTGGCACAGGAGCTGTGGGTTTTTACTTTGTAATATAAATAAAATAAGAAAATATAGGAAAACTAATAGATATACTTTCCAAATATAATCAATCCTATCTGAATTTCCTATCCAAGGCAAGTCCTCAGTGTCAGAGTCATTCCTCAGTTGCTCGAGATCCCGAAGGTGAAGAGTCCATAGTCTATAACTTCTGTCTTTCACTAACAGTCTAGCCGCATGAAGAATGCCTGAAGAGTTTTGGAATACCAATGACTTTGTAAACACAAAATGCAATCAAAGTGAATTTAATATGGCACAGGCAAGACAAGATCCGGCAATTCGGCGTATTTCATAAGGGAAATTGTGCGGTGTTCTATTTTCTCTGTTGGTCTGTTGGTTTAAGACCATCATTTATGAAACAAAACAATCAAATATTCAACAAAAAATCATAAAATTCACTAAAGGAGTACCATCTCAGCCTTTTGTATTATAATTATTTTTCTACTATAGTCACCCGTTATTAATGGTGCATTCACAGTTACTCTCAAAAACAATGGTGGTCCTTTTATTCATTATTTCTGCTATCTCCATCCACTTTTGGTACAGATTATATAATAAGTCAAAATAAAATTTAAATAAACCACAATAAAATGATTTTGGGCAACTATATATTTAGATCAGAAGATACTTTAGTCAGGATTTTTAATGGGAAAGCCTAAACACTGTCGAAAATTGAATTTAAAAAGAATCTCTGAAAACTATAAATGGTGGTCCGAATTATAATGGAGAAACAGCATATTTAGCAGATAAAAATAAGGAAAAAAGTTCATAATCACCCTGAAATGATTCATTTCAGAGATACATGGTGTTGAAATATAGCGAAATTTTTAAAAAATCTTCTAGATTTATCTTTCAAACAGAAGCATTATTGACACTTAAAAACAAATTTATAGCATAGATTAGCTTGTTTTTTGTTAACCAGTCAGCTTGTCAGATCGATTTAATTAATTTAAATATTAAAGGGTGCAGACCAATGGTTTATCGTGCTTTTGTTTTAAATTAAAAATTTATTATTTTTTTTTGGTTGCATGTGCACTCAATTAGCGTATCATTTCTTCAAATTTAACAAATTAAAACGGTAGCACGAATGTTATTATTTAAAGAAAGACAAGTTTATCTATGCTAAAAATTTAGAATCTAAAATAGATTTTATAAAAATAGAAAAAAAAAGTTTTTTCGCAATATTTTAACACCTTTCATTTTAGGACATAACTTTTTATGAACTTTTTTACTTATATTTAGCATACGATTATTACGATACGATTATATACGATGGTAAAATTTTCTCCATTATAATTTGGATCATTCTGTATTCTTAATGCAAATTATATTTTTTCAAGAGAAACTTTATTTATGTTTGAAACTTACCGTCCCTAGAAATTCGTTCATTCACTACATGGTGAATTTGAAATGAATAGTAAAGTCAATAACAAATTTAGCTTTTCAAAATTTGAAGTCAGTATCTTGAACTTTTATTGTTAATAGTTATCTAGTGTTTTCATTTTCTTGCGTCACCTGGTATAGAAAGTTCTTCATAAAATTAAAGATTTATCAGATGATGTAGATGGTTCAATTTTTCCTCAAAAATAAATTAAAAAATTAGGCGAACAAAAACTAAGAGTATAAAGGATCAGAAATTTATTAACATACGGATCAATCGTAATTCACTTGTATAACTCGCCTTTTCAGTTTAGCTGTCGCAAGACAAAAACAAAGGCACTGCCACTTGGTCTCCACATAAATCTTTTTTATTATAGTTTACAAATAAATATTATACACAAGTTTGGAGAAAAAATGAAAATAAAATATTGAACTAATATCTTGATTCGGGTTTAAAGGCCGTCGTCGATTGGAATTACTTCCTAACGTTTCGCTAGCACGAGTGGCGAGCTTCTTCAGAGGTCCTTCCATCTCCGATGTTGGACGTAGACATCGGAGATGGAAGGACCTCTGAAGAAGCTCGCCACTCGTGCTAGCGAAACGTTAGCAAGTAATTCCAATCGACGACGGCCTTTAAACCCGAATCAAGATAATAGCTTATCAACGGGCCGCGAAAGCCTTAACCAATTTATCAAAATATTGAACCATAGGTGATACAACGCGATCTTCCTGAGTGCAACAAAACCGTAACAAAACTAATATGTACAATCAGAGAAAATTTATCTAAAAATTACCTAAATTAATTGACTATTAGATCAATTAAAAAAAAAACGCCAAAACTAACAAAATGGCTCTCTGTGCATTTTTTTTTTGAGTTTTTAATACTTATTAAACATGTGAAAATTGTGTGATATTTACTGGAGAAAACATTGCAGAACAAATTATTTATAGGAAGTCACATAGTATATATTCTGGTAAAAAAATACTGTCATTTAAATTAATTAGATCTATAACAAGTAGTGATTATCATTCTGCTATATTTTTTCTATTTGAGTAACATCACACCAATTTTCTGACTAATCCAACCTTAAAACCATGTCTTAACAACCTGACCTTTGCTAGACAGCTTTAATTACATATAGAGGGCGTCCCAAAATTAATATCGATTTTTAATTTTTTTTTTAATGAAAAATATTTTATATAGATTAGCGAGGCGATTTCCAAAACTTTAAATGGAATAGATTCCTAAAAGAAGCCCCATTTTTTTTTCTTAAATGGCACTTCATTTATCTTCTCAAATCTTCAAATGCTTATGAAACAAAATCAACAATATTTTTTGCATGCAAAATCTCCAACGAAAATTTATATCACTCAATCATAAGATTTCCAATCAACACAGACCATAGAAGTCAAAAAATTGTTATGCATTGTGACATGTTGAATAGGACAGTTCGATTTTTTGTTGGAATATTGATTATTGAATAAAATACATAATCTTAATCTTTAATATTTCCCTTCACTACCTGAGTCAATATTTCAATCAAAAACTAGCCAAAACAGGAATCTTAGTTGTCAATGGTAGAATTTTCACCCATCAAAAATGCGAGCCAATTCAAGAGCCCAGTGCAAAGTTAGTCACGTTAGGGAGGCAAATTCGAAAAATTCGTCACGAAAGTTGACCAATATCAGAAAATTTTTGTTTTAAGTGCATATGTTACCGCCAATATCCGAAAACCGTTGGTATGCATTATAATTAAGTATTTTAGGAATTATGTGTGATTGCTGAAACTGCTAATGATTTTGCATCATAACTAAGAACATGCATATATTCTACAATCTTCAGATATTTTGTATAAAATTTGGGACATTGGTAATATCCATAATACCTAAAACGTTTAGTCATTTTGCATATTTCCTAGTTAGTAGAAAAATTCAATTTCTCTGGGGTGTGACTGCTGAGAAACGTGTGACCTGCCAGTGAAAATGGCTCCCGTATTTTTACAAACGATGCTGCGAGTTGGTTAGTTTTGGTTAGCTTCAGTTAATTTTAGTTTTGATGTGCATGTGTGTGTGGCATTATTCATTAATGATTTTACTTCGTAGCAGAATTCACCAGCTGGCTAGCCGTTTGCGAGTGCTGAGCGCCTGTTAAGTAGGTTAGGGCGAGTGTTTGTCATATTATGGGCCTCGATAGCAGCCGACAGTGCTAAATTAAAATAAAGTAGAGAAACCAAGAAGCTAATTGGTAGAACAAATGCAAATTTTTTGTTCAAAGAAGAATATGACATTCTCAAGCTGTAACAACTTCGAAAGTGCAACTGTACAAAGTTTCACAGAGACAGTACTTGATAAAGTATAACAGAATAATAAGTGGAATTTTTGATCAAATTAACTAATCGTTTTGCAATATGTAATAGTTAAGTTATTCATAAAAGCTGTTCTTGTTAAAATAGATTGCAGAGTAACCTAATCTCTTGTGTTTTCTACCTCTAAGAGCTAGTGATTCAAAAGTACGCATAACGACTAATGTTCCGGTATTACTCATAATTGATGTGAAATGTTTAGTTATTATTTATATTAAGGGTTACGGAAAATCGCAAACAGTTTTCAGTAATTATGCATAATTTCTAAAATGCTCAGTTATTATCCATACTTCCGGATATTAGCGGTAATATATATGTAAATATAACAAAAATAAAAATGTATATACAAGAAGTTATTTTTATAACTAGCTACAATTTACAACAAAAATTCAGAAATTTCCAAAAAGTTAACCGCTAATCACAATAAAGGTCATTTCCATTCATATTTATATAAAATTAAAAAGCTGCTTCGCGCGAATCGGGGGACGACCGGTATACAAGTACATATACTTAATCAACTAAATCGTTATATCATCATTTTTATTATCCTTACTTGGGCCAACAATTCGAAAGGAAGTTTTACTGGTTTTAATGGGTTACTTTTTGATAAATAATAAAATAAACACAAAAAAACACTTTGTAGAAGTAAATCCTCGGGATTGCAACCGCCCATCTCGACGCGATAACCATCAAAATGACTTCATATAATATTTAAAACTTTTTATAAAACCATTTGAATAAAAAAAATGGGCAACAGACATTTATATACAACCATACAATTTTCGAAATAATATTTTACGCGCTATTTTTGGTATATAGGGGACATCTTTCAAGAAGTGCACTTGGCGGGACATTATTTCTCACGACTAATATTTTACTTGCCAATATATGCGGTTTGGTAAGTCGGGGGGCCGATCGATCGCGCTAAGGCCAATTTCCACTGGGCGCTTAAGTCAGTCTCTTTGATCGCGGCATTTCTGGGAGACAATATTTTCAACGTATCGTTAAACGTTAAACAAATATTTATACTTATCAACTTTCAGATAGGTCACGCTTTACAATCTACTTCCCGTCATACTTCTAATAGAGACTAATAAGACTCTCCATGATATTCAATCCCCTTCCGGTCCAAGTCTTAATAGAATAGAGCAGCCCCACATTTACCACTTCGAACAAACACTGACTGACACTGAAGAAATATAGTTTTTATGTATTTAGTTATATCCGTATGTATAGCGATTTGAAATGTTCAGATGTGACAAATACTTTGTTTTTAATGTTATTTTTTTATTTACAGCTTTGTACGTAGATGAGATAGGGTATCAAACAAGTGGGGGCGGCGATATCGGGTAAAAGGTGAAACCTAGTTACAGTCTCCATATTTCCAAGGAAAAATGATAAAGAACATTTTACATTAGATGCACTACCAGGTTGTATAGGAAGCTGCAATCCATCGAGATGGACGAGAAAAGTGGAATTTTTGGTATATACCAAGTGTTTTACGAGACACTATAAGTCCCAGTAAACTAACAACCTGTCCCTGGTTACAGTTGTCAGTGGAGTAAAAACTTTTTCTCTTCTTGTACGAAAGGGAAGTTTTCTTTTAAAAAAATTTGCAACAGCCAACCCCGGTCTCTCCTATTATTGAAAATAAAAATAAAATAGTTTTGTGACCGCCTACGATCTCGATTTAACAATAATTTAATTTATAAAAATAGGTCATTTTCATAAACAAGCACGTAATGTCTCCAGGGGAGTAACAGATTTTTAAAAGGTTGTACTTTTTCATATCATGTACGATAAAATTTTATTTAAAACATAATACGAAAGTATTGAAAAAATGTATCCATGGTTGAAAAGCCCATAACTTACAAATTAACTGACGGAGTTGTGTCATTTTTGGTGAGAGTGTAGCTCAAAGCCCAGCTTAAGGATATACATAGGCGTTCAAAATGGTTATCATTAACATCCGGCCTGAACCAAAAATGAGACAACTCCGTCAATTAATTTGCAACGTATTTACTTTTAAACAGCGAATACATTTTTTTTAGATCCCTCTGTTTACAGCGAGAAATTCACCCTCACTATTTCCATTTTTTAACATATTATGAACTCATATCTTTTGCTTTCAGCAGCCAAAAAAACGTTTGATTGTAGAGCGCTGACCGTCTTTTATCGCTTGCCTATTTCGTATATTTTTCTCTTGTGAGCCGATGATGTTGTAACCCCATACCTGATACTAAGACATAAAAACCTTTAAACATTTTCGTGTTTGTTATACGAGGCAGTAAAATTTATGACTTCAAGTACATTTAGTCTTTTATCCTTTGTCGCTCGTACCTAAATTACATGGATCTCATAAACAGCAACCATCTTAATTAAAAACTTCCAAATAGTTGTTATATTCTATTCCTTATATTTTTCTCTTATAAGTTGATTATGTTTTAATCCCACACCTGACTCGGGTGCCCAGTGGATGCTGGTCTTTACAGTTTCAGCTAGAACCGACCCGACGTCGTTTATCACATTCAGATTTGTAAATTTCTACCTAAGTTATGTGTAACTGGTACACAAAAACGCTATCAAAATAAATAACTAACAATTTAATAAAAGTCTTTGTCTCGTGTCGCTACACGCGCTTGTAGCCGTTCGAGGCCGCCCCGCCCCTTTTCCTGACCTTGGTGGGGGTGGCGCATGCACCCGAATCCTCGTGCTTTCGTTTCCGCGTCCGGTGCGGCAGCGACAGGAACGACTGCGGCTCCCAGTCGATCTCGAGCCTCTGCCTCAGTATCCTCTCGCTCTGCCGCGTCTGCACGTACACCTTCTTCGTCCTCCGCCTCTTCTCCGTCTTGCTCTCGATCGAGTTCTTCTCGGACATCACGATGCCGCTCGAGCTGGTCGACTCCCTGATCGCGTCGCTCGATATCCTCGCTAGCGAGGACGCCGGTCGGCTCGAGTCCTCGCTCAAACTGTCTTTGGTTATCGTCGACGATGGCTTTTCGAGCGTGAACGACGACGAGCCGCTGCTGTTGTCCGACGAGCTCTTCTTTTTCCGGCGCCGCTGCGCGAGCTTCGCGCTCAGCACGTCCTGCAACCGAAAGCCCTCCTGCTGAGCCTTGTGGAAGGCGTCGAACGTGGTCTGCAGAGTTTTCTCCGCAGAACCGCCATTGGAGAGTACATCGGGTGTCATGAGCTCGGTGTGCGGCACGTGGCGGCTGTCGCGCACCCACTCGTTGCTTTGCAGGTCGACCATTTGGAGCCTCTGGCCGGGATCGACGGTCAGCAGTCCTTCGACGACGCGCTTCGCGTCGTCACTCACGTCCTCCCAAGCGGGCGAGTCGAACTTGAAGTCGCCGTGCTTGATGCGATCGATGACGGAGGAGATGGTCTCGTCGCGGGATCGCGCATGGAACGGCGCTTTGCCGCAGAGCATCGTGTACAAGATGACGCCCAGACTCCACAGGTCGCAATTCTCGTCGTAGCCGCCCGGGTGGCCTTTAAGTACTTCGGGGGCAGCGTAATGCAACGTGAAACACGGCGTGTGTAGGGATTCCGTTTCACGTTTGAGCCTCGCGAACCCGAAGTCGATGATTTTGACTTGGGCGTCGTCGTCGTCCGAAGTGAACACCAGGTTCTCGGGTTTCAGATCGCGGTGCACCACGCCGCGCGTGTGCATAAAACTGACAGCCGACACCAGCTTGCGCAAGATGCCGGCCGCCTCGCACTCCAGGAATTTGGTCTTCTTACGGATGCGATGGAACAGCTCGCCGCCCTTCAGGTACTCCATGACGAGGTAGGTGTAGTTGTCGTCGTGGACGCACTCGTGCAGGTTGACGATATTCGGGTGACCTTGGCATGCCCGCAAGAGGTTAATCTCTTGCGTGCAGTCCCTCACCTGTAACGCAAAAGAAAAAGGAAAGATTAGATTCGCTCCAAAATTGGCTGAATTTGTTACCGGTTAATGGATAATTGGCTTTATTATAAATAAATAAAAGAAAAAAAAAGTTGTTATGTTGAAGTTAGGTAACATTAGCTAGTTTTCTCTAAATGCCGTGCCTTTCATCTCGTTCTATTTCCCAGTTGCTTATATCCACCATCTTTATATCTCTCTCGATATTGTCTTTCCATCTTGGTCACTGTTCTCCGATATCACTGGCTCTTATCGTATCGTATTCAGGGTTGCTTGGTCATCTCTCTCATCTCACCGCATGTGCATTTTATCCACTGGGTTATTATTGGATCTTATATGGGTTCAAACGTTATTTTCAAAGGACAGCGACCTCTCTTATTCTCTTGGAGTCATATTCCAAGCGTCGAATTCATACAAAACTATTATCGTGCTGTATATTTTGAGATTCAATTTTTCTGGGTAGATTACAGGGTCGCAGCAGTAGCAGCCTGTGAGAAAAATTTAAGGTGTTCTGCAATACTTGCAAAAAAAACTCGCCTTAACCAAAAATGGAGAATTATTAAATTCCTCAATTATTTATTCAAAACTTTAAGAATACACTGTAATAGATAATTCTGAATTTGTTGCTCTGGTGCTTACTTAGAGGTGAGATGAGTGAGATTATTTCCCAAAATTTCTCTAACATGTTTTCTACAATGTATTTGTAAATTGAATATTTGCTGTTTCCTAGAAAACCTTTTATAACATCAGTAAATGAAACCAATGCAAACCTTTTCAGATTCAATCACAGTGTTATCAAAGTTTTGATCTTCCATTAATCGACTTATCACCTACAAATATTCCTTCCATTAATTTTTCATGTTTGAGAGCGGGAAATTTTCCACATACGTATTTAAAACTTGCTAATTCTTTATTTAAAGCTTTAACTTAGTCTTAATTTAATATACAACGGTGGTACAAAATTAATCCTTTTTGGACAGTTCTTTTTCACCCAATGTTTCTACTGTACCATTCACATAAAAAATAGGTGTACTGCGTATATCCTGCTGATCTAGTAGAACTACCACAATTTTTAAGTTACCACAAATTATCGAACTATAGTCCTTGTATTTGATTTTCTCAAGCACTAATTCCAGATTTTCGTAGCATTGTTTTATTTGCATAAAATGTACAACAGATAGAGAAGCAAGAAAATTCGGTTGGATAAAAATCCTCCAGTTTTCAGAACTGTACCCTGTGAAAAGTTTCTAATAGATTAGGGATATCAGTGCAATAAACAGGTGAACCACTTTGTTCAAAATATTTTTCTATCCTGCGCTTCCTGAAATTTGAGATTTTAACGTCTGTGCCAGTAAATTTTTATTTTGAAGTCTAGACGCTAAAATTTCAGAAATATCTTGAGGTAAACGCTCTCTCCACTAAGTCACCGAGTTCTGATTATGAAAAAAAAAACGGTTGCTGAGAAACACTCCATATATCACCAACATCATTATGGGTAACTTCATCTATTTCAGGTTCAAAACAATTGGTGGTATCTTCTTCTAAATTGGCTGGATCCTCAGGTATTGGGACACGTAAGTCAAGTGGCACTGTTTTTAAATGTTTTTCAAATTTTTAATATATGCACGAACGCTGCACATGTACAAATTTGTTGGCTCTTTCCATAGCTTACAAACGATATGTGGCGTCCAAGATTTGTCTTGATCACCAATTTTTACTTTAAAAGTAGTGTAGTATTGTTTTTTTAAACAGGGGTGTAAATTTACGTCTAAATTTCTTGACCACAAAATAACTACACACAGTAAAACGTATCTGGAATTGTTTTACAAAGTCTTGGCATTTTAAAAAGAAATGTAGCTGCAATATGCCCAATAAGCTCACTAAACGACGCAATTATACCACAACGCGCTTTCTTTAAATGGCGCCACGATCCGACGCGACTACATATTTTACAACATATTTTACTTTCGGGGATTCCCCGCTAATATTCTGCTAATTTAAGCTAAATGTATGCCAGTAGCGTAGCTATTTAAATTTTTAGAATGTTATTTAATGTTAAAACAATAAATATGACATCTCAAAAAATAATTTAAAAATGTTAAAACCCTTAAAATATGAAAAATATCGAATCACAAATTCTTTGTGGGTCTGTGTTATTGCCATCGTTTAAAGTCGTTACAATACTGTTATTAAGTCGTGATCATAACCATGTGGAAACAGAATAAATCTGAATATCAATCAATAGTTTATGATTTTAACTATTTCCCTAACGAATTTTCGAAACCGTTACATACTCTGCTGACGATCTTCACCGCGTACTCCTTGCCGGTGGATTTGTGGACGCAGCGGCGGCATATGGAGAAGGTGCCATCGCCGAGAGCGGTTTCCGAGAGATCCATGTCGTACGCTTCGAAGAAGGGCGAGTTCTTGATCTTTAGGTGTGTCATGTGGTCCATTGCGTCGCCGTCCGCGTGCAGGAGGGCGCTGGAAACGGCGTTTTTCGTAAAGACGACGGACGGCGCGACGTATGAGTAGCCTTTGAAAATTTTATCGTAATTCGGGGGCACTATGGCCGGCGAGTCCGTTGGCGGCATCGCGGTGAACTCTTCGCTGAAATTGGACACGTCCAGTTCGTTCCTGAAATACGAAATTAAATACTTTTATAATAATAATAATAATAATAATAATAATAATAATAATAATAATAATAAATAAATAACGTGGTAGGCCAACTAGGAGAATATGGAAAAAAAAGTTCTCCAAAGCGGTTAATTTTAGCGATAAAACTGAAGAAACCATCTTTAATCAGAATTGTGACGCTTGACGCTATTGGCGTTTTCCAATTCTGCATGTTTAAAAACCCATTGTTCCAGCTTTGGCAGTTTTGGAGGTAATTGAGCGTTCTTCAATTTTTAGTTTATAACTAGGACATATACTTTAGTTGTCAAACCGCAATTACTTTTATAATTAATAATTTAATCTATGCCTTACCCCTCATGTTAACTCAAAATACTTCAATTATGAATAATTTGAAAAAAGTGAAGTAAATCTTCTGGTCCAAGTGCCAATGAATCTTATTATTAACATTTGATTTCCACTTTTGGAGTAAAATTATTGATTTATGTACTTTAGTTGTCAAACCGTAATTACATTTATAACTAATAATTTAATTTATGCCTTCCCCCTCATGTTAACTCAAAATACTTAATTCTGAATAATTGAATATAACAGGGGTGTATTATCCCATGAAACAAATGAAGTAAATCTTCTGGTACAAGTGCCAGTGAATCTTATTAACATTTGATTTCCAGTTTTGTAAAAAAATTGTATTTTCCAATAAGAAAGATGTATCTTCTGTGTTTCAAATAGCTCTTGTGTGTAATATATTTTGACAAGCCTAACAAAATCATTCAAAAGCATTTAAATATAAACACCTTCAGTTGCCGATTTCGTTTTTTTTTAAGTACGACGTTTTGCTTCAGCGAAAACGGAAAAAAAATCGAAACGTCGTACTTAAAGTCTCTCAACGTTGTCTTGTAGAGCTGAAAAAGTGGAAACGAGAAAGTGACTTTTATTTTACTATTTTCAAATAGTCTGCATTCTTCCCAGGTCGGTTGGCTTCTTTAGAGCTCAACTGAAACTGGCTCGCGCTCTATATTGTTAGAGGGCTATAAAGGTAACCGAGTCGCGGTTAAGATTGCTTAGCTGCTTATAGATTTCTATAGATTCTGGGATTTTTCATTGGTAGAAAAATAAGATTTGATGTCCGGTTTCATGATTATGTCATGATTTGTTGTAGTCTTAAAGTTCTGTCATGTTCTTTTCGCATAGTTGATATTTTTCGTCCTGTTTCCTTGCTTGTATTAATTGCCGCATATGCATGGAATCTCTAATGTAGAAATTATATGAGAAAAGAGCAGATGTTAGGAGTTAGGTTAAGTTCAACTCATCAATTTTTCAAACCCACCCTGTATCTCATTAAGTCCAAGATAACTAAGGACGTTTCTGTTTTGGAACCATTTAAAAAAAAAATAGATTTGGGTCATAAAACTCGTAGCACCCCAGTTTTGTTAATAATCGTAAAAATCGTAGTTCTATATACAGTGTATATAGAACTCGCAAGTATTCAAATAGTTTTTAAAACGTTAATCTTTTTACTTTTCCTGTTTTCACAAACATTTAAAAATCACACAAGTACATGCCGTGTAATAGAAATATTTCTCGCACATGAAAGGTGTAGTGAACTTCACGTGCACAATTAGTAGTTCATATAAACACGTATCCTAAATTGCTTCTGACTACAAGGTTGTTGTTGGTTGCTTGCTAAAGCTTATTGTTCCGATTTCAATGCTCGAACTTACCTAATGACAGGTTTGAAAGGGGCGGATATTTCTTTCCTGGCAAGGCGACTCCAATCCATGTTCTTGAAAAATGGATGCTCCTTGAGTTCCTTCGCGTCATCCTCGCCTCCTCCCAGTCGTTTCCGAGGATCTTTTATCAGAAGTTTGCTGATAAAATCCGCCACATCTTTGCCGAGCGCTAAAAGTACAACCAACGAGGTGAGTTAAAGAAACAGAGGCGGGCGCGTTGACGTACATTCAGGAATAGGAGGTGTCGTTTTGAGGATTCTCCTGGATATCTCTTGTTGAGTGTTCTTCTCACCTTCCACCGTGAAAGGAGATGCGCCCGTCAGTAGCTCGTAGGTGAGTACTCCCACCGACCACCAGTCGACAGCCTGCAACAAACAAACAAGCATATAACTAATACAATGACGGTTATTCATGTTTAAGGCTTCTGTATTTCTAATTATTCTTTTTTCTTTTTATTTTAGTAATTTGTGAATATCAATTGTTTTAAGTTGTCCTGTGCATTTACACATAGAAGGAAATAGAGTAAACAAAATATTTAGTTATTTTTTTAAATTATTTATTTAGTTTTATGCATACATTAAAATTTTGTTTCGTTATTTGTTTGTCTCTTATGTTGTGTGCATAATGAAAAGTTGGTGAACTTATAGTAAAGTAAAGAAAAAGTATTATTATTATTTATTTCTTTATTTTTTCTTTAATGGATAATTTAATATAAAACAAATGTCATTACTAATCGTTTAAAAAAAAACTTCATGTATTACACAATCAGCAGTGAACGTTATTATTTGCTTATTTAATGACTTTGTGGTTAATTGTGTATTTAGTAGTCCTCAGACTTCTTGCTCGTAGTAATACAAAGGATAATCTAACCCAAAATTCTCAAGGATGATAGTTAATTGAAGATTGCTGCTAATTGAGCTGGAGGCACATCGCTCAGCAAACAGCAATCTTTAATGGTATGAGACGTTGTATACATATATGAATACGGGAAGCAGGTAACTTAGCGGTTTAGCTGAAGACTATTTAACTAGCATTATTTTATTAAATATAGGCTTTTATACAGAAATCGATCAAATGGACAATGATATGGTAGGTCGAAACTTTAATCAGCTAAATGACGGATGTAGTGGGATATCCGAGAAGTTGGCTAATTTTGACTAGTTCTAACCATATTTCTTTTTCGATGTTGAGTTTTCACCTTTTGGTGCAAAGCGTCATCCTTCGTCGGGCTCTTTTCTTGTATAATGCGTTGATATGCGTTATTTAATCGGGTAGCAAATTATTTTAATTTTTGTAAACAGTATTCTAACCTAACCTAACAGTATTCTAAACTAACCAAAATGGCTAGTTGGTAGTAATTTATGATCAGAAAATATTTCTAAATTATTTTTGTTCAGAGGGAAAACGAACAAAAACTGGTTATAGACATGTTTGCCTTATTGACCAATTATGAAGTCTTTCTGACCAGGTAATTAAACAAACAAAGAAATGACATGCGGCTAAGACATGGGTTATTTATTATGATAAGTTATGTTTGAATGCAGTTTGAAGCTATGGCAAGAAAATTGCAGTCTTCTTTCATTCTAGTAGAAAAAACGTTAAAATTGAAAAAAGGAAAAAGAAGAAATTGACCAGACGTTCAATTACCAATTGGAAACGACATATTGCATCATTTATAGTATATTATGCAACAAGTGCGGTAAACGGCAGTTTATTTAATAAACGAATGACTTAAAAAGTTTATCGAACGTGTTGCATACTATACTTTTTCTATGACCGTTCGTTTTTGGGTCCACACGAATACATTCCCTGACGTGACCGTCATAATTGTCAAACGTCAAAATTCAAGCCGTTCAGTAAAATCTCAGAAAACATCCGATTGCCCCCAAACCGGTGCGGTAATATTCCGGAAATGTTCGAAGTTGTTCAGATCCGTGGGAAAAGAAACCCACATGCTCGGTGTATAATTAGGCATTTTACAGAAGGGAGTATGCCGGGAAAATCCAAGGGCTGCGACGCGACGGACGCTAACACGATCAGCACTATCAGCAGCCCCGACGGGATCACAAAGCATGGGACAAATGGTTTCGCAAGCCGGAGAGACAAGGACAGAATACCAGGCACCAATAGTAAAGTATAAGGCTAGTAAAATCGCTGGTAGACATTTTTATCAAGTCTGGTCGTATCTGCTGACCATTTCAAAATAGAGGATCATAAAACTGATAAATAAACATTGCTTCATGGCAACACTAGATCTTAAAGATGTCCATTTTTTAACAAAACAAATTAAATCTCGAGGAGACTTTTACTCCACTATGGATATTCCCTCTGAATTATCAAAAGAGTTAATAAAAAATGTAAACGGTTTATTTCTTGGCTGAAAGATCCAGAAAGTTATGCGGTAGATGCATTTACAACTAACTGGTCACCTTTTTATTTTTATGCATACCGACCTTTCTCGATCCCATTACAGTGTTTGCATACGACAATTGAAAATAAAGCAATTTTTGTTGTATCCGACTGGACCTCTCAGCCATGGTTTCCCATTTTTAACTAATTGCTTGTTAGTAAATTAATTAATTTCAACCCAAGTAAAGATTTACTTCTTTCTTAGGATAGGACTCCTCACCCATTATGGTAGCTGGAGTCTTATCCGGCGAGCATGGATATTTGTATGGCTTCCATTACCAGTAGTACCATTAATCAGTATAATTCCGGTTTAAAACTTTGGTGGAAGTGTTGCAAGCAAGAAAATTTAAATGTATTTACATTATCTGTACCAGATGTCTTAAAATTTTTGACATTGTCTTTTAATAAAGGCGCTTCTTACGGCACCTTGAACTCATACAGATGTGGAATAGTTGAAATAGCAGGGTTAGTTTTGGTTAGTTTTGCTAATGATTTTAGTCTAAAAAGATTTTTTTAAGGGAATCCTTAATTTGAGACCCAACAAACCCTTCGGACCAGTCTATTGTCCTTAACTACATAAAAAAATTCCCTAATGACATTTTCTTACAAAAACTAACTTATAAGTTAGCAGCACTATTAGCGCGTAGTACTGGACAAAGGGTGCAGACGTTGGCTAGTACTGAAATTTCCAATATTGACATAGCTGATGATGGCGTCACCATTAAAATCCCTAAGCCACTCAAAACGTCTGGTTTAAAAAAAATTAAGAAACTCCCAGTGGAATCTATTTATTACTTTTAAAAAGCCTTTTAAAAATGCAAAACGTGCATTAGTACATGGATAAGCGCAGTTCTCAAAAGTAGTGGTCTTGATACATCCATATTTACTGCCCATAGTACAAGGCATGCAGCCAGATCCGCCGCGGCTTGTAAGGGAGTAAGTATGGATGTTATTAGGCTGGCAGCACGATGCACTGAAAAGTCAAAAACATTTGCTATTTTCTATCAACGCCCTTTGTTAAAAAAATTCAAATTTTACCGTGGCGGTTCTGGGCTCATAATCTCTAATTACTTTTTAAATGTATTTCGGTTTAGGTTACAAAAATAGCCTTTCGTTTAGTGTTTAAGAATCGGTTTTGTTACCATGCTTTTGTGATAACTTCGTTTCTTCCAAGAATAAATATATTTACAATTGTTGCAAATTTCGTTAAACATCTACAGTATACTTTATTATGAAGACGAGGCCTAATATAATTAACAGATCAAACGAACTTACCTGAAGTGAAGTTCGATCCGAATTACATGAAGCCTCGTCGCAATAATTAAACCAACCCAACCCATAACCCTAGGCATACAATTATAAATATTTGGTTTGCTTTAAAAAATAACACTATTAATATAAAAAGTACAATACCATTACTAATTTTACTTCCAAACTATAGCAACATTATTTCTGCCAGAGGCCTCACTGAATTGAACAATCGCCTATTCTCATTTTATCCGTTGTTGGTTTTCTATATAGATTTAACTATCGTGGAGGTTTTAGTTGTGTTTACCACTTCGACGTCGACCAAAACGAAAAAAAACCTTCGTTTGTCTCGTAAGTGGTATAAACAAATACCCCGTTTGAGGCTATGCTGTAGACTTGTCACCAATTAGCGATGTTGATGTAGCGTAAATATGGCCCCGATATCGAACAAATATGAATAAAAGCGGGCGTGATAATTAAACAACATTTTTGCTTGTAACGGTTCGTAAAACTTGTAGCAATACGTAAACCAGTTCCGCGCAATGAACCAAACAAAAATATTGCCAGTGGTGAGACAGGCACGGTCAGCTGACTAGATATTAGTTCAAGCTACCCCGATTCCTTTTAAGTGCACCGTTTTATATCATAAAAAGTCTAATCTTCAACCAAAAAATATTTGTTCTAGGAAGGAACATTCCAAAGACACATTATAATATGTTTACGGCGTTTTGTGAACTACTTACCAAAGTTTTTCATAAATGTTAATTTCTCATCGAATTAAGTCAGCAATTTATTTTGAAAATTGCCTATAACTTTTTTATTTATGAAAATTTTGGATACGAATAAAATAGTATATTATCCAATAAGTGCAGTAAACGGCATTTGAGTCACGAGATTATTTGGCACGAGCGGAGCGAATGTTTAATAAACCAGAGACTTCAAAAGTTTACCAAACATGTTGCATATTATACTTTTTCTACGGCCTTTCGTTTTGCGTACGTTCTTGCATAACAACTGTCTGAATTGTCCGAATGTCCGAAGTGGCTCGGATCTGTTGGAAAAGAAACTCACGTGGTAAAGTGGCACTTCTCGCACGTTATATCAGTGCCTAATTAAGTATTTTACAGAAAGGAGCAGAAAATAGTATATTATGCAACAAGTGCGGCAAACGGCATTCGACTCACGAGTTTATTTGACAAGAGCTGAGCGCAACGCAGCGAGTGTTTAATAAACGAGTGACTTAAAAAGTTTACCGAAAGTGTTGCATACTATACTTTTTCTACTGACAGGACGTCAGAATTGACAAACGTCAAAATTCAAAGCGTGGGAAATATCTCCAAAAACATCCGATTGCTCCCAAACCCGTGCGGTAAAATCCCGGAAATGTCCGAACTGGCTCAGATCCGTGGGAAACGAAACTGGAGTGGTAAAGTGGCGCTTCCTACACGTTAGATCGGTGTGTAATAAGGAATTTTACAGACGGGAGTAGAAAAACATTATTATTTCTTATTTTATATGGCAATAACAGTTATCTATAGTCTTAAAAAAATGCCCCTGTCGAGCCTTTTTCATACAGATTGGTTGGTATCTGTGATGAAAAAAAAGAGGAAATACAGTTTTTTATTTATGTATTAGTAGTATATAGCTGGCAATGTCAGTTGAGGACATAACTTTTAGTGGTTATTTAATTTTGTGTTCTATCATCCAC